GAGCTTCAGGGTGATAGCCCGTAAAGGACGCCCAGGTCGGCGTTTAATTGTCTTATGTTTCAGTTTGTTATGAGTCCTGGGGCTAAGAAGATGCTTCTTGACTCTCCTGTTTCTTCTCGTTTTTGGTCCCGGCACGATTCTCTTTTTCCTTTGTCCTTGCCCCGAGAAGGGTGTCGACCCGCTAGTACGTCTAACGCGAACTCTCCGTCTAGCTCGCTTGACCACGAACAACCATCTCTTCTCTCTTCCTAAAGCTAACCCTTTGACCTTTCTCTTCTCTATTCTTTTCCTTTTCTTGGAACTCTCTCCTGCCTCGAATTGCCTCAAGGTGGCTCCATCCTCCTTTATGACTTTTCCTTTCCCTTTCAGGCTGGTAAGCGATAAGGCGGGCGTGGGCCTGGGCCTAAACAGCTTTAACCTAGCCCCCGCCACTGGGTCCTTCCACTTAGATCCGTCTAGTTCTGCTATCATATATGCACTCGAGTCAAGTGCCTCAACCACTCTGTAAGGTCTCATCCATCTATTGGCAAGCTTTCCGGTTCAGGTCCTCTCCAGTGCTGCGTCGTAGAGGAGGACCATATCCCCTACGCTCACCCTCTCTTTCCTGAATCGGACGTTCTTATCCCATCTCTCTTTACCCTTGTCCCTTTCCGCCGCCAGACGATCGACTGCTGTCATGAGGTTGTCTTCCAACCCGTAGGCTATCTGTCTTGTTCGGGCAGCTAAAAGTTCCTCTCTGGACATCTCCTCTGCCCAGTCGACGGTTGTCCAGCTGTCGACGTGAAACTCTATGGGAAGCGGACAATGTCGCCCAAACCACAAGGTATACGGTGGGTATCCGGTACTAGCCCGGACCGTGACGTTGTCCGCCCATATTGCGTATCGAAAATATCGTGGTCAATCACTGTCCTTACCCTTGCATCACTTGGATAGTGACGCTATCAGAGTCTGGCGTCCCCTCTCTACTTGGGAGTTCGACTGTGGGTGATAGGCGGTGGCTATCGAAACTCTCGCACCGGCTCTCCTAAACACACTCTGAACCTCGTCGGCTAGGAATTCCGCCCCTCTGTCCATCACTATCTTGCTTTCACAACCATACCTAGATAAGTACTCTAGGACAAAGTTCTTTACTTCCTTTGCCGCCATACTCCTGATAGGTCTACCATCCACGAATCCAGTGAAATCGTCTCGTATGTTCACGACGAAGTTCATATTGCCTACGCCTCTCGGCATTTTCACTAGATCGATGTGTACCTTCTCTCCTGGTCTGGTCGGATAGGATGGATGAAGTGGCTCTTTGTATTTCACAAGAGCTCTCTTCTGACACTCTTTGCATGTCATATTGTACCTCTCGACGTCCTTATACTGTCCTTCCCACCAGTAGAGCCAGCGTATCTTTTCGTAGGTTCCTTTAACTCCCCTGTGTCCTCCGACTACCCCGTCGTGAAGTTCAGCAACTATCGTTTGTCTCTCCTCAGGATCACAGACTACTCGTAAGGGCATTCCCGACCCTACTGGCCTTCGAAAAAGGTGGCCCGCTCTAAGGTAGTACTGGGCTGCTTGCCTCCGGATATCTGAATCTTGACTCTCCTCTCCCGTCAGGTGTAGTCCGATCATTCGGTACTTGCCCTCGTAAAGATTAACTAGAAATCTCTCGGCGCGTCTCGGCTCTGTCATTGTCAGAGCCCCAGCTACTATCGGACGCTCGAGAGGGATGCGTGAAAGTCCATCTGCCACGGCATTTTTAGTACCAGATATTCTCTCAACCGTGTAATCGTATAGCCGAATCCGTATTAACCATCGGGCGATGGTCGGGTCCGTCAGACTAAAGTCCTTCTGGAGGACAGAGGCAACCGCGGTGGGGTCTACTCTCAAGATGAACCGTCGCCCATAGATACAGTGTCTGAACGTGTCTAGACACCGGAGAACAGCTAACACTTCCTTCTTTAATTGACTGTAGTTACGCTCAGCCGTATTAAGTGTCCTACTCTCAAATCTTAACGGTCTTTCCTTCCCTCCAGCGTCCTTCTGAGACARCAAACCACCCACTGAACATGGTCCAGCATCCGTGGATACTATGAAGGGTCTTTCGGTCTCATCGTCAAAGAATGGTACACCCAACACGCGTCCTCCTTCCTTAAATTCGTCTTTAAGTTCTTGCATAGCAAGTTCCTGCGAAGAATTTCAATAGAAGGTTTCAGTCTTTCGAAGGAGTAACCTCAATGGCTCAGCCTTCTCCGCATACCCCCGTATGAATATACCCCAGTAACCGACCACTCCTAGAAACTGCCAGACCTCGGTTGGGCTATGTAACGGTGAGGGTCAGTTCAGAAGTTTGTCTAACTTCGTCGGATCTGCTCGGCGTCCTCTCGCATCACATGTAAAGCCCAAGATCTTAATAGTCGAGACGGCCCATCGGCTCTTTGTTCCGCTGACTGTTAAATTCGCATCGTCCAGCTGCTCGAGTACCGCGCAAAT